TTATGTTGAATGACTCTATTTGACACGCTAGATTCATTACAGATTGATATTCATTATGATAGAAACTGTGCTAGTACTTTTAAGAACTTTTCAAAGAATAATAAGATTGACAGGTATAGCTTAAAAAAGTAACATAAATTTAAATGTCTTATGAACGAGTATTTGAGCTTCGTAACAACCTCGCTTATTTGAATCGAATCATTTTGCTTCAAAACATTTTAAAGAGGTTTTTAAATTAACTTTGATCGAAGAAAAAGATTGTTAGTCACAATATTCTATGAAAATGATCATGATCTATTTTATTTACCACGATTTTCTGTAAAATGTGGTTAATCTGTTTATAAATGTTATATGCATCTTTTTCTTTCTGTTCTTCTGTCATATGTGTATGTGTATATATGTCGTGCCGAAGTTGTAACTTCGGCACGACATATATATACAAATGTTCCTTTCTGTTTCTCTCACATATGTATTCTTTTTGGGATTTGTTTCATTAAATATATGCCTACACTGTCAATTTTTGTTGCCTATGTTTAACAGGTGTTTTTCTTGGTGTGCTTGCTGAACCTTTCTTTCTAACTTATTGCTGCTCAATATATGTGCCCGAATATATTGTTCATTTTACGACAATACATGGAAATAACCTGTAGCAAACGGCATATTATAAAACTGATTCAGAAGAAACCAAGCACTAAACAATCTACCTCCGAGAAATTACACGATATTGAATTTATAGAATGCAATCAACGTTTTAATTATAATTAGATACGATTTGGTGTACAAGATGAAAAAGACTCATGGATACATACATGTACTTCGGTTTAATGATCTTTCGTGTTTGAAAAGCAAATTGACGATTTTTATCATATTATTATATAAAATAATATTTTAGATAACCGTTGGATTAATATAGAGCATTGTCAGTATATACTTTTCTCACATTTGATTTTTTTCTACTGTATTAGATTAATTATTCAAACAAAAAGCAGACAAGGAAATTTTCCTTCTAATTAGTCTAGTTAGACTAGTACTTTTGTATATTTTTTACTTCGATGATATTTTCATTTTGAAGAGTTTTGATTAACCTATGTGTTGCAGGTATGGTTTTCCTCAGTAACGTCCTTGCTTAAATATATCCTGCCTTTTTTGTCAATCATGCTCAACAGATACCAATTGCTGAAGTGGCAACTCATTGCTATATTATTAAATATTGTAGCCATGTTAAAAATTTATTCATTTTAAAAATAATTTCAAATGAAGTTCTGATCAATAGCTTAGAAAAAAGTCATTTTATTTCGGTAACAAAGATAATTGAACAACACAATAAAACTGAAATTTTCGCTGTCTTTTCTTTTCGTTTAACAAATAAAGAAACAACTACACAGAATTAGTTGTACGATTTCCGTATTAAGTGATTTAGAATTTTTTACTCCCTACAGAATTTATAGAAGTTACGTCAATACAAAGAGCGTGAAAAAATAGGCAAGACTCTTTAATTTTTTCGAAAGCGTATGATCAAGTCTCCGGCAGATTGTTTTTAAATAGGTTTCATAGCTAAACTAGCAAGTATATATCATTCTCTATCTTGTTCTGGTCGATATTGTTTTTCGTTCTGATTCATGAACATATATATGCATACGCATATATATGTTCATGAATCAGAACAAGATCGAGAACGATATATTCTTTCCTGTTTTAGCTAAGAATCTATTTAAAAAAAAACTGTTGAGGATTAGACTAGATCCTTTCGAGAAAATTGAAGGCTCTTGTTCAGTTTTTCACTCTCTTTCTGATGAGATAATTTTTATTAATTCTGCAGAAAGTTGAAAATTTCGAACCACTTTATATGGATCGATCATTTCAAATTGAACGAATGCATTTCAGCGAATATATAAGACAATACTTCATGAATAATGACTGAGTTGATATATTGTTTTCAAATGATTTAAATTCAAAACTGAACCAAAAATAAAATAGTCAGCAACTGAAAATAAAAAACACCACAATGTTTATATAAACATACGAATCTGATAAATATTTAAATCTATAAATCGATAAATTGTAATTGACATACAATCCAATAGTGAACTGGAATGAACGACATGTTCCGTTTTTATACGTAGTTCACATGACTCTATTATCTATTTAAAATCAATTATGTTTGTGAATACCAAAATAAGGTTTTCTGAAGTGACGTATAAAGAAGACAGTGTAGATCTAATTGTTACATTTCAGTATGATTTCTTTTTGTTTTTGTTCAATTTGAATGAAGTACTGTTTAAAACAACACGTTTATCAAATAAGAATCCAATGAAATAAACAAACAACTAACTAGCAATTTTATAGAATTTTAGTGGGCCAAAATTAAAATTATCTTATATTACATGATGTTCTGTTCTGTCATTCGGCATGATCGATTACTATAGAATGATAGAATAGAAAAGAACAGAACAAAAGTGATCTTGTACTCTTCATTTTTAGGCACTCATAACAACTAAATTAAAACTATTGCTAAAGTGAGAACTGAAATCGTTTACTACTAAGGAGTTTAATCATTGAATAGAGTTTCTTCTAATATAATCTAAGTAATATCGTATAATATGAATTATTCCATCAGATTTTTTCATAATGAGTAAAAAAAAATTCGTCATCTTCACTACATTCTAGTGAACATTTATCTATATTCATTTTCATATTGGTCACTGATTAAAAAAATCGTTACGTTTTGGTGTAACCAGGAAAAACATTAAAGGCACGTGATCATTAAGACTTTTTTTTTGGTTGTCGATAACGACAGGCATATTGTATACATAGACACATGTCGTGCATCACAAAAGTGTTGTCGGCACATTTTCATTAAGAATGATTTATATTATAGCATGTTAGATATGATGTTAATTTTCGGCTGCCAAACATTGGATTTATACGTATCTTCTAATATAATGAGTATAAGGTTAGTGTAAACTTTTTTTCAAGATATGCTGTGAGATCAAATAGCGTAGCTTACCAGGTACAGAAGTGAACCTCAGGGAGAATTACTTGATTTTATCTACATCAATATCAATGGAGCCTTGAGTTGATGTTATAATAATTCTGGTCTCAAGAGCTTTTTTCACAGTTAGTCAGAGACGCAATATAGGACGATATTCAGTGGTGAATGAATAGTTAATGACGCATATTTCAATTAATTTTATACGTGTTTAAATTTTCATTTCTGTTTCGCAAGAAATCTTTTGCAACAAAGAATCACTCTTGTCTAACAAAAGTTTTTTTACTGTCACTTCTCATTTTATATAGAAGAATAACAAGAAAAATTCAAACCGTCAACCGTCGTAGAAAATGCCGTTTATTTTTTTTAAACACATGAAGCAACACAAGAAATCTTCATCACAGGTCATATCTAGATAAGCAAATTATTTTAATTAAGACGAATATTCTGTTATCAAATAAAAGAATATTTTATAGAAAAAGGCTTAATCATTTCATTAACGACACATGCAGCTTTATTTATACGATCGAAAATTCCATTAATGTTTCGTAAATTGGGCACACTACCATAAAACAATATATACGCTAATATTTGAGCAATTGAATATATTAAAAATTGTTTATAGAACTTTTTGTAAAGATTTCACTTTCTAATTCATCAATGACAGTTTAGAAAATGATGTCTTCATAAACGATGCTTTAACGTCTACTGAACAGGATACAAAAGAAATCTTATTTTGGGTATGATATCGTTGATATTTAGATGCTAATAGAAATTCTTTGAATGAAGGTTTGATGTTATTTTATTGGCGTTGGTCTTTATCTGAATCTGTAAAAAGAATTTTCTCGATCTTGAACTTAGAGAACACTTTTTTCTATTTGAACATTCTTGAAACTATTCATAATGTTGTCTATGTATATTTCATAAAGTCACGGCAGAAAATGTTCAATTTTTAAAGAAGACAATATAACATTATTTAGAGACACGAACTCTAAAACTATCTTATAATGTTGATTGACACAATGGTTTTTTTGCAAATCAATCGAATAGACTGTTATCAACCTCATAATTTCATGCAATTATACTTTGATCATTACATTGATTGTCTCTTAGAACAATCGCTTATCAAAGAGTACCAACTAGAAAAGTATTTTTAGAAGATTATTTTTAGAATGAAAGAATATTTTATTTTAGTCTCTTTCATTTAGCTTTTATTTTACTTTGTTGAATTCTACTTTATTTCCTTTTAGTTCATTTTGTTTTAATTTTTTATTGTATTTTTATATTATTCGGCTGTTGTTTAGTTTATTTCATTTCATTTTTATTTTATTTTATTGTATTTTCTAGTATTTTTTAAATACATTTTATTGTTTTTTTTATATATTTTCTTTCCTTTTAGCTTTATGTTACATGTATTATTAAAAAATTTAACATAATAATAAATTAAAATAAACCAGATTTAATCTTTTAATTTGCAGCTAGTTTTACTCTGTTAATAAGTAGGAGCAAAGGGATGATATAGAAGGAAGAGGTCGTCAAAAAATGTCTCATGTCCAGCTATATATATATATATAACTGGACTCCTTGGATCCTATAGGATGCATGTCTGGGATTTTGCAGCGTGAATAAATATAAAAGTAGCTGAAGCAATGTGACCTATTGAAAAAAATGCTTTTTCCATAGAACAGGCATTTTAAATACTAATATGCTGTTATGCTGCTAAATACTAGACGAGCATAGCTTCATGAATTTCAATTTTGCAATAATAACTGGTTAATTATTTATCTGCATCTTATGTACTTTAGCGCACATTTAGGATAATATTTTAACAATTGAATCTCTTCGACTTGTCGCAATTTTAGAACATCGTTTATCGAAGTTTTTTTAAACATCCATTGAGTGATATAAAATAAGAATGGCATATTGTTCACATTAAGTTGCTAGAATATCCCTATCTGAGATATTTCACTCTATATAAAGTTTTGTTCATTACATTTTAGATTATTTCAAAATGTATGTTTCTCGAAGTTCCAGTCCACATAAATCACCTGCTGACAATGATCCTAATTCTGGAAATATTTCTGTCACCGACACCGATATTCATGAACTCGAAAATCTTGTACCATATCCCCGACAAGCTCCAACCGAATACGAACAACATCTCAAAGAAGCTTGCCAACAACTTTTGCGACATCCATGTGGTATTATTTCAACATTATCTTTAGCAAAAAAAATTGATACAACTGCAGCAAATTTACTCGTTGAACAATGTTTATTATTATATACTGATGACTTATTTGCAGCTCATACACAACTTGATCCTGAAGGTTACATTAAGTACATACCAAACAACATTGATATAACATTTATCGGTAGTCTGCTTCATTACGATATTGATCCAACATTATACTTTCAAGAAATTAATATTCCAGAATTATGGAAATCTTATTTATCCACCAATGGCATAGCCATCTTACGTTCAATGACATTTTATGAAATAATTATAGATGTACCACCATCACTTGAATTACCTGCTGATGATGTCGAACGTATTGATGGCAACAATAATTATCAAAAACAAAATTTATCATTTAAAGTGTATGCTCAATCATCAAATGATCCATCAGAAAATTGTAAGTAATTTTAAAACTAGTGCGCCTCATGCTCAGAAAATTGAAAAAATTGTGTAACTTGAAGATAAAGCAGTATCGAATAGTTTTGCAAATAGAGAGTATGAAATTGCTACGAATATTATATTTGACTTTAAAGAAAAATCATTGAATAGTTTATTCAAGCTATTGATAAGATACACTTATCGTTGTTAGGAACATCAGACAATAAAAAAAAGAAAAAAAAGTATATATATCGATTAGATTAATATGCGATTGATAGATTAATACAAGAGAAAAATGATCGTCATAGCGGTCGACTCTTACATAAACAGACATTGAAGAATCAGAGAAAGAACAATAGTGACAGTCAATTCGATCAGAATGAGATGAACGATGACTGACGGATGAGATAATGACCATAATATAATTGGTCTGACATAGAAAATGCAATGTATATATATAGTTACGTATACGTACACTTGTTCATTCTATCTCATTTCGTCGCAATTGTTAATCTTGAAAGTTATTCTTTTCAATTAGCTGGAACGGGACTGAAAATTTCTTGGTGAGACGCGGGACAGAATGGGATTGAAAATTTCTAGGTGAGACTGGACAGAAGACATCCTGTGGACAACTCTCGGCAGGCTTAACGGAACAGTTTCTCATTGTTCCGTCAGTCTCTGCTCTGTACATGAGTATAAACAATATTCTATTGCTTGGCTGCACTATTTTATTTCTTTTTCCTATAATTTTACTTTAGATCATCAGACTCATCACCATCGTGATTTTACAAATAAATCCAATGTGTCTTTAAGTAATACCAATGAAAATTTCAATAACTCAACAAAAAAAAGTGATAAGAATCTAAAAATAATTACTTTATTAATTCATTCCAAATTTTTCTGTGTAGGAATAACAAGTGCTATTGATAAATCTGAAAGTGATACATTCGAAATAGTACCATCAGGAAAACGATTTCGTCCAGAAACTAATGATTATCAATTTATACAGTCAAATTATTCTAATGTTATTATTAGTAAACCAACAATGAATTGGCGTTTCCTGCGAAAACGAATCATCGGTTTAAAAAATACAGATAATACTTGTTACATTAATGCAGCTTTACAGTGCTTGGCAAGTACTCCTCCTTTCGTCGAATGGTTATTTGATCAACTTGATACATTAGATACATGTGAGTAACACCTATTTATATGAGAAAATTTCCAATAAGCGTCACATTGAAATTCAAAATACAAAATATAGCATATCACAAATAATTATATTTATAACATATCTATTTATTTTTAATTGCATAAAGTGTTATATATTTTGTGAGTTCTAGGAAAAAAAATATGATAGTAAATAAGAGTATCAATGCTATAATATTTTAGAGAAAACAATCCGATATTATATAGTTTGTTGTATAAGAACAGTAGAAATAAAAAAAATTAACTACTCTCACCTATGCGATTTATTATGCTTCTTGCTCTGTTTTTCTTTTATATGAATTTATTGAAAATTATTTATGTTTTCAGATTTTTTTTCTCTGTATTTTTTAATTATCTTCATACAGAAAAGCAATATTTATTGCTAAACTGCATTGACTTTCTTAATATATATACATACACATTTTAGGTCAGTTATCAAATCAAGGAAAATTTTGTTCTGTCTGCGAATTAACTAAAGTTATTTCATCAATTCATCCATCACCAAGAAAAAAATCTATTGAATCAGACTGTCTAACTATTCCATCTGCTAATTCTATTAGAACTCATATAAATCTAATATCATCTGTATTTAATGTTGGAGAACAAGAAGATGCTAGTGAATTTATTATTACTTTATTAGATCATTGTATTGGTTGTTTATCGTCACATTCATCAATATCACATATTATTTCTTCGGGACCAACAATAATTGATCAAATATTTAACATTAAACTTTTGTCATCTGGAGAATGTCCAGTGTGCTTATACACTTTTAAAAGAGAAGAAATTACTAATATGCTATTGGTTGAAATAGATAAATTAAATCATTTAACTGATGCACTTGCACATTTCGTTGAACGAGAATCAATAAATACTTTTATATGTAGCAATTGTGATAAATCTGTAAAACTTGATAAACGTATTACTATTAATGAATTATCATCAATATTAATTATCAATTTCAAACGGTGTAGTACAACATTCAATACAACTAAAAAGCTTTTGCATCAAGTAAATTATAATGAATTGTTAGATATTTCTCCTTATATGACGTCGAATTTACTTTCTTCAACCGATAAAACTCAAAACATAGATTCATCAAATAATTATTATAAATTGTACGCCACCATTAATCATGCTAGTGATGATCTTGCTAATGGTCATTATTACGCTTATATTCGATCATTAGACAATCTATGGTTTCTTGTCAATGATGCACATTGTCAAAATGTATCATTAAATGAAGTTTTAAATCATCGAGAAGCTTTAATATTATTTTATGCTAAAGTAGTTCATACACCAACACCAATTGATAGAATGTTACAACAAATACCACAACCATTAATGTCTTCATCAACAGAAAACAACATTGTTTTGTCTTCTTCTATTTTAAGCTCATCCGTAAGAATAGATTTTCCATTATATACATGACCGTCTAATTATTTCTTTTAGATTCCAGGAAATTCAACATCCATAAATGAATCAATCACGTTTCTGAATGAACAACTATCAAAGACTAAGTCTTTAATTACTATGAAGACGCCTATGCGATCTTATGATTGTTGGTTTCTTTTTAGTTGAATTTTGTTTTCTTATTTTTGATTGTTTCATTATAGCTAAATCTCAAAATGATATTGAGTTAAAGTTGGAAAATAGTTTATCAATAATTAAATCACGAAAAAGTGCTATTTTAAATAAGACACCTATTCCTGGACAAACAAGAAGTAGTATAAAAATTGGTAATCAATGTTCAAATAATCAAATCGAAGAAAATAGAAAGAATATCGATCATATATTAAATGAAGGTATGAGCGATGGTTTAATATTATTAACTGTCTTTATATAATTTGTATTTTTTTTTGATTTTAGAAATACCAAGTCAATCAATGCCTTCAAAAAAACTTTTGTTTGTTCGGAATGAAACCAGTAATGATTCAATAGCTGAAGTATCTGATGATGAAGAAACAAAAAAAAGTAAGTCAAATCAATGCTAATGTTACCATGATTTTTATGCTGCCAACCACATATAACTCTTCATAAAATATTTTATTTTTTAAAAGAAATCCGTAAGGAATGAGCTCTCTTTATTGAGTTCATAAGAATCTTTGCTCAATCTAAATATCCTAGAGAGAAGTATCCAATTGCTGCATTAAGTATGATTAGTAATTGCATAGAAAATCCTTTGAACAATATTTATTAACGATGGTTTATATATATGAATAAAAGTTTATTTCATTTGTTCGATTTTTTCCTACAATAATTAAATGACTTGGGCTTTAAAAAATTAGTATTATAATAAAAAAAAAGCATTTATCTATCTACATAGCGTTCATTCTTTTTTCTTAGTAAGCTACTTATAAACTTAGTCAAGTTTCAAGAAAACTTTAAGCGCTACAGTATATATGCAATAAACTCTTGTTCATACTGTTGCGACTGTTGGTAGCTAAGCTGCTGATGGGTTTCAGATCTATAGAGTTGAGATACTGAACAGTTCCAGCTCTTTGAGCTAGATTGCAAGATCTATGGAACTGTAACTGTTAAAAGCATTGTTATGTTTTATCTTTCTAATTAATACATGTATCTAAACTATATTCTTATATTTTAGAAACCTGTATAAAATTAGCTTCAGTGGCAACAGGTATTCCAATTGAACAAGTATTTGAACAAACACTTTCACAAAAATGTTCTTTTCGTTTAAATGAAACTGACCTTTTAAAAATGAATCAACGTCGGCATGAAGAATTAAAGAAAAAATATGATCGTAAAATGAAGATGATAGGATTATTATCTGATATATCATCATTAATTAAAAAAAAATGGAAAAATAGAGATATTTCTACCACCATTAATGATACAAATGCTGCTGACTGTCATGAAAAAACTAAACATATGAAAACAAGCAATAAGGTGAACATTGAGTATTTGAATATACTCTTACCTCATTTGAAACATTATAATGCAGCTTGTGCTTTATGTATCTGCACACGTTATTTTGGAAAAAATATATCAAAATCAACAGATCTTCTTGTTAGATGTACTCTAAAATGCAGTGGAAGTGTTTGTAAATTCAAGTGCAACGTCCATGTTTTAAATAATGGTTATTGCTTTCTTATTGCATTAAATCGAAATGTTTTTCATCGTGTCAATGAACGTATTAGTCGTCCAATTCGTGGTTCTCGACGACGAGCAATAATGGATAAATTTAAAGGTGGTAGTTCAGTCTATCGAATTCATGCTCAATATGATGAGCAAAGAACAGCACGTGAAAAACAAGGTTTTAATTATGATGCAACTGGAAAATCAAAAAAAATATTTAAAAAAATCAAAGCCGAAGCTAATGCTGAATCATTATTATCACCAAACATTAGTTTGGGAATCTTACAATTACATGATAAATTAGTTGATGAAATAAATAATGATGGAATAATTAAAGGTGGGATTCAAATTGTTCAGTTCCGGCCATTCTGTGTAGTTGCTTTTACTGAAGCCTCAATTAGATTATATGATGCAATAGTTAATCATCCAGATTCTGTTCTTTCATGGGATGCTACGGGTGGAATTGTTAAGAATTCATCATCTAAACAATGTTTATATTATGAATTAACAATATCGCATCCCAATATAGTTAATGAGGATAGCTTAGTGCCTTTAACATTTATGCTATCCGAATCTCAAACACTATTTACTATTATTCAATGGTTATCGGCATTCAAAGAAAGTTATAGAAAGGTAAATGTTGTTTTTTCTTCTTGTTACTATTTAAATAGTCATTTCCTACAATCTTGTAGGCTACTGTTATTGAAAACAAAAAAATTATTGGGTATACCCCGAGCCAAGCGGGAATTATTTCAATTTTTCTGTCTAGGAACGATGTTTTGAGAAAAACGCTAAAGAAGTTTTAGAAATAATTTTTTTCATCAAACCATACTAAATTGGTCTATTATTAAAATGTGTCAGTGTAACTTTTTTATAATATAAAATTGATTTAAGTTAGTGCTTTCGATCATATTTAAGTAAATATAATAGTTTTCTCAATACCGAAACAAATGAAAGGTAGTTTTCCCAAAACTGAAAAATTTTTAAAAAACCAAAAAAATCCTTGAAAAAACATGATGGGGGAGGGGGGGAAGGGATCGAAAAAAACCTTCGAAAGTCTCTTAAAATTTGACCCTTTTCCAAAAACCTATATACATTCTGACAGAGGAAATTTCGCTGCATCTGTATGTGGCAAAACCTCAACTTCGAACTTTTCCCAAAGAACTGAATTTTGTGCAGGGGGAGGCGGCTCTTAATATAAAATCTCGAATCACAGATGAAAAATTAATCATAATAGGTTTTCATAATGCATTATTATTGAAGAATTTTGAACTAGAACATAAAAGATGAAGTCACTTAATATGTATAGTATGAAATAAGTCTACCGAAACCAATCCAAAAAATCGTGATTTTTAATTCTTGCTTCTCTTGTATTTTTAAAATTATTTTCAGGTATTTCCACACAAGAAAGATTCATTTGCTGTACCTGCCATAATCTTGTCGGATCGTGCACAAATATTTTTACAAGCTGCTTTACATGTCTTTAACAATGAAAACTATGATGCATTTCTTGCACGTGCGTATCGAATTGTTACTAATACAGCTGTTCGAAATGATCTATCTAAAACTAATATCCATGCATGTTTATCACATTTTATGTTGGTAAGAGCAAAATTTTCTTTAATTAGCTTTTAATTTTATTGATTGTTGAATGTTATAGGATATGCGCAAACGCGTTAATAAATATTTACTTGAAGATATGCGTGAAGTTGCAATGTGGTCAATTGCATTACTTGTCAATTCAAGTACATGGCCAGAAATAAAAGAAAACTGGACTTTAATCTGTCAAGTTTTTTTAAGTTATTCGACAAATAATGATATTAATTTCAAACAACACCATGCAACCCTTCTTGTTCGTATTAGTAAGATTACAAGTGATCCGAATTCATCACGAGCAATTAGTCAATCAAAAGATATATTATCAAATAGAAATGATTCATTTGAGTTTGATGATACTAGTGAAATTGATGATTATGATGACAATCAAATGCATACAAACGAAAAGACTAAAACTAATAATAAAAAGAAACGATTGATTATATCTACCGTGCATTCATCCAATCATAATAAATCGGTAAGCAAAACCAATATCACAAAATACATGTATGATGCGAAAAACCATAAAAGAGTAGATAAAAGTATTATAATATGCTGAAGTTATCACAACGTAATTCTCAAAATGAATTCATTCTTACTATATATGCTTAGGATTTTAATTGAAGAAATTTTATCATATTGATTATTTAACACCATAACCATCAGAAGTTTATAGATATACTCAGTCTAAAAGTATCTATAAAGGATTCTGGGATATGTCTTTTTATACAGCTGAGTTAGGTAACAAAACGTATCTTTTCGTTCTTATTTAACACAAGAAAAAATGAACGCTGTGAAATTAGTCTCGAAGTAATAATAATTCGATTTTTGAAGAAACAAATTGCTCATCTATGATTCTGTGGGAGATTTTATGGTAAGCAGCAAAATGCTCCGAGAACTCATATTTACTCAATGTATTAATAATACTCAATCTTAATGAGCATTGTGAAAGTATTTTTGTACACTTCATTAGTCCTTTACTTATATAGTTTACTGAAAGACAAAAAAATGCATTTTTAATATTAGAAGTCTATTAAATGATATTATATTAAGCTTATAAAAAGTTTTGAATCTATTGGAAATATTGAATTCACTCAAAGTGATCAAGTTCTACTTCTCATGTTTTTCAATTATCGGATACTCTTATGGAGTATTCAAAAATCATTTGAAAAATGTTGATATTTTTCGAAGTCTTGAAATTTGATGTTTCTTATTTGTATCTGCCGTTTTCCTCATTAAAACTTGAAATAGATTACAGAAGATTTCAATTTTTCCACTAGATTATCGATGAAGAAGAAGAATTAAATAAAGCCGATAGTCCATTCAAACGAGAATTACAAGCTATTTACAATAAATGTTTGGAAGCTTGTATTAAAAATTATGGTAATCTTTCGTCATCGGATAAAGCGGTGAAAGGTATTCGACAATGGTTGTCATTTATAAATCAACGTTGTATTCCAACAATTCCTATTTGGTCAAATCTTTTGTTAGGTAAATATATTGGGTGCTTAGTTACTAAAAAAAACTTATGAAATGTATACTTTCAGGTAACTTGTCACGTCATGGTACATCTGCTATTCGTGCATACGATAATTTACTTCTATCGTCTCATGATCAACGTACTAATGCAATATCGGAACGACGCATGTCTATTGTGAAGCGAACACAACTTGGTAATGATTTTTTTATAACGAATTTAGAAACCTATGATAAACGTATTTGATTTCTTTTATAGGAATAGAGACCCGAATTCGATCCGATATTGTACTTGATATACTTATTAATGATATGTAAAAAATGGTTGAAAAATTCTCCATATCACTCATGGGTACAATTTTTCAAGATACTGGTGGTGAAACAAATTCTCAACAGTTGAAAGTTGTTCAAGAACGCTGGCGACAATCTAATCGTCGTGGACACGGACATTATGCAAAAACACCGGAAACATCAATCATGAATAATTTAAAGAATGCATTGATTATATCTTCATCAAACATTAATGATAGAGTTATTTTGTGCCACAACTTTCTGTTTCAAATTGGCTTAATATATCAATTGGACTTTTACTGTCTATGAAAATAATACGTGAAACACCTCCATCATCACCAATGAAAACACCCTTACTCATCGATATACTTTCATTTATTAAAAATTGGATATCTGCTTCAAATCGTCTTAAACCACCCAAAAAAACAAGTGTTGAACTAACTACATTGTTGAACACTCAATTCCACATACCTATTAATTTTCCAACTGATGTAAATGAACAATTATCGTTTATTATTCATAATATTCTTCTTCCAATCATTTCTTATTCAATATCTGTTAATAAAATTTATCGTTGTACTTCTTGCAAACATACTATTAATGTAAGATTTAACATAAATTATATTGAAATTAGCATGGTTGAAAATCAATTTCGTTTAAATCAACAATTGGCCAATTACTTTGCTAACAATTCATCTGATCATATATGTGATAAATGTTCTATGTTGATGTCACGACAAATTAAGATTTCTGATTGTAAGAATATTTATAAGTTTGTATTGTTTTTCCTTTAGAAAGGCGAGTAAGTAAATGAATTTCACACTATGAATTAACTTTCCTTGACACAATATATTAATAGTGAAACCAACTGAATATAATCGTGGAAAGCCATCGAAACATCAGAAGACGCGGGATTTTCTATTGTATTTTATCATCACTAGATTAAAAGAGCATCTTGTATTATGTTCTTAAAAGAATTTTTTTATAGTGTCATCGATAGTCCCTAGTTATTATTCATTATCTTCGGCCTTACTCATCCGAGGGGTGAGGTTCTGTAATATAGCTTCAATTTCATGAACCCAATGGGAAGGCGTCTCCTAATATATAGTCTACTTCATCAATTCAAATGAAAATATTCTAACATATTGATAGCTTTATGTTTTAGGTCCTCCTATAATTATTTTAAAAATTAATGATACGAAAAATTCAACAAATTTATTATCCAAGCCTCCACATACAGTTTGTTTTTATCCATTTATGGATGATTCTTGTATTGGTTGCTCATCATCAAGTGTTTTTGATATAGTTGCTTTTTTATCGGTGATTCCTGATACTCAAAATAAATTGGTGTTGGTTACAAAAATCAAACAAAGATGGAAAATTAGCTCCATGAATACCCTGATAGGAAATGGTGAAAAGTTAGCAAAACTCTTTGCTAATAGTCGACTTATTGTACTTGAGCGTGTTCGAGTCTCGAACACAAATTTTTTATATGCCATTGCTATATTCAAAATTTTTTCATATTATTTTCAGCTCGATACGAATATTGAAAATGTTGACAACGAAAATTCAAATTTGCAATGTACACCAACAATCTCAACTTCTCAACAGGTTTTTAAATTTTAACTTTTTAGAAAAAGAAAAATGAAAGAAGTATTTTACTCGTTGAAAAACTTCGAGTGACATGGCAAGAATTGATAGTTTCACTATGTTTCGCGTACTCATCAATCTGCTTACATGTTCCTAATGCATAGATTAATTTGTTAAAGACATTTTATTTTACAAAAATAGTTTGAAAAGAATAACATTTGAAATTCATTCATGAACGATATGAAAAAATATTGCCGACACAGCAAGCGTTTAACAAAACTGAATAAGTAAACTGCTCCATATAGGATTTCGCTTGTTCTATTAAATAATTATTTCCACCATATCAAATAGTAAAAGCTTATTATCCAATCTATGTTGAATTTCTTCAGCAAACTTTCCAATTAAAAAAGAAATTTAATTAAAAGAATTAAAAGAATATATTAACATTTGGAAAGAATGTTTTTCAGTAATAATCTTTTGAATTCATTGAATGAACTTGTTCAAGAGGGCATATTAAGTTCGATTATGTTACGATAGTATAAATGTGAACGAGGAACAGAAGACTTTGTAAACGCTTTCTGCAAAATTTTAATAAAAACCAATTAAAACATGTGAACAATAACTAATCGAAATGGATAAATAAACTCAATAAATAAATGGACAATGAGCAATGTAGTTATATTCTATTAATAGTCATGATTGTACTTGATTCAATTGATAAAAAAATCATTTTTTATATTCCAGAGCAAAGATTCTCCATATAAAATTTTGATATCTTCGTTTTCTAAAAAATAAAGTTTTTTATTGAAAATTTAGATTTCCAAATGTCTATTTAAACTTTTGAATTTTAAACATTTGAATAATGTTACTCCTTTTGTATACGGATATCAACTAAACAAAATCAGACTATATTTTTTCTTTCAACATTAATCACAGTCCACGAATAGTTTTGATGAAAGTCCATCTCCTGTTCGAATTTTCTCTAAGAATTCAACTGATACTAAAAATGAATCAGAATAATGCACAGAAATGTTACAATTAGAACCAAGTAAAATTTCACCATCACCTCACTCAAGGATTAATTTTGATTTTTTTTACAAAATATCAAGGTAAGAGAACGTCTGATGCTGCTAAATAGCTTTATTTCTTCTTAGATTATTTTCCTGTTGCATTTTTAAACTTAGTTCCTATTGTGTCGAGAAATACTGTCGCATTAGATGGCTAGCTATCACACTTATATTGAATTAAAATCTAGGTATAAAAGCTGTTACGTTGGCCATTATAAAAAAATTAAAAAACAAAATTTTTCAACTGATTCACATCCGTGTACATAAAAATTGGTGCTCAAATCAAATTGAAACAGATTGAAAATTGATTATAATCATGCAATTTTTACACAGTTTTCATCATCTTTTAAACAATTTTAATAAAAAATAATCGAAAAAAATTAAAATTTCGTGGATTATACGATTGACATTATTATTTTATTTGTTCTTTAGATAACAACATCTATAACCTCTAGTTCCGTTCTACTCAATCAGCCGGTACCAGTACGTCTACTCGATAAATCTACAAACGTAAATATGAACAAATTATTTTTTATCAAATAAAATTTCTTTCTTTTATTCATTCTCAAATAGAAATTAACTATAGGATCTATTCGATCATTAACAATTATTCCCAAATAAACATTCTCACCTTATAATCCATGACCACATGCTACATGTGACAACTTGTCATGTGACTCTAAATATGATTTTGTGTACTATGATTTGGGACCCAAGTTTCTCATAACAGGATTTTTTATTTTTGAAACTTTATCGGAACATCTCTTTTTTGACGCTTTGTAACAATCTTTTTTTTGTGTTTTTTTCTACCATTTTCTGGAGCTTTTTTTCTCTTTGATTTCTTTCACTTTTGTGACTATCGTTGATCCATGCGTGTACAAATAAAAGTTGTTGACATTATTAAAAGACTTTTTAGCTCGACATTCAGCTTTATGAATTTCAAAAAAAGTACATTAAAGCTCAACTTAAGCAAAAGATATTTCAGAGTTTTGATGCATAGACGTTTTCATCTTTTTCTTTCAATCCTACAGACAACCTAAATTCTATATTATGAAATACATTGTCATAACTAAAATGATTGAAATACAACGTTGATAACTAGCGGCCTCTGATAAGCGCTTCATCAATATGGAGGAGATATGCAACTTGTTCAATGGCGATTTCGTGTATGTAGCTGCAAGTGTATGTAGATTATCTCAACCAATGATGTTTTTGAGGTTCTTTTCTAAGTGGTTACTTTTTTTGACTTACGAAGTGTTTTCTCAATATCTATCGATTCGTCACCTTATGTTAACCTATTATTGGTTTTTCTTTGCTTGCTTCGTCGTATATGAATAGTTTAATTCTTTATTTCTCTTGGTCTAGTTCGTCGATCGATTCATTTCTCTCTGTGTAGATCATAGTTCATTGTTATTTAATTTCATTTATATATTGGTTTAATCGTATTTTCTCTTTAGTTCTATATCAAATTTATTTGAATCAATATCAAATCTACTTTAGTTTAAATTGTGATATATTCTACGGCACTTCACATTTGTCATTAATTAATTTTACTTTGTTTTTTTACAATAGGATCTGATTTAGTAAAATAGGTCGAACAGGCGATCGGATTGGTAGAGAAGCTTCTACACAGAAGAAAAGAGGATGTAGCACTCAATGTATGTAATCATTGATTTTTTTTTCTAAATTAAATATTTCTATTATGTATTATTAGATATTAACTGAAATTATCGACAAAATTAGTAACAATAAAGAAAATCTTCAAAATGAAGAATTATTGAATACATTTATTGTAGCATGCAAGAGAAGAATTTCTGTCTACTATAAAAAAGAAAAATATGAGGGTAATAGGATAGTGTCTATCTTTGACACCAGCATTAAATTTATTGCTATGATTTGTTACTTTTTATTTTTTTAGATATCTTACTCGCTATTAATAGTTTACAAAATATCAGCTATGATATGGGTGGGTGTGGGTGTCGGTGTTAGTCTTCTGTTCACAAACACCCTACACACTCACATCCTATTTGCCTCTTCCATTTTATCACTTGTTCAGAATCTGTAGCACGACTATATAGAACATTGAAAAAAGAAGAACGAAGATTCGATTTATTTATAACCAAACACCTTTTACAACTTCAGACAAGTAAATTTGAATTCCAAAATATTCACTACTGACTGTGAAAAGTGTCTTCTTTGATCCTACATATATGGGAATGATCAGTCTGACCGGATACCCCATTAATATTTTTCTTATTGTAAGGATAAAACATACTATTATTCGGGTCATATAAGAGAGGATACCAGATAACCCTGGATTGATTCGAACAATACCATGTTTTATCCTTACAATAAGAAAAATATTAATGGGGTATCCGGCCAGACTGATCATCTCCATATCAATTATAAAGAAAAACTAAATACAACAAAATAATAAATTCAAGTTCATCATCCCGTCCAATCTGGTGATCCAAGCATATCGATTCCGTATTTGGTGGCAACAGCTTTAGCTGCGCTTTCCCAATCACCTTGTTGTTCGACCATAATTTTGCTCACTTCTTCAAAATAGTGTTCAATACCAGCCGGTTGAAAAACATATTCTAATCGAGCACCAGGTGAATTAATATTACGAAAACGATGTTTAATATAACGTGGTGCATAGACCCATGTACCAGCTTTTCCAATAAATGTTTGATCGCCAATTTCAAATTGAAGTTCACCTTGTAGAACATGAAAATATTCATCTTCACGATGGTGAATATGAAGTGGAGGAGCTTCACCGACAAGAATTTCTCCTTCCATTATAGTCAATCGACCATCAGTTTGACTTCCTTGTAATTTAATTGTACGCGTTGAATTAGCTCTTGCCAATACTTGAAGATGTTCCCCTTGATATTGTTCAACAACTACTGGCAGAATTAATTTACCATCATTGAGCTTTTCAGCTATAGATAATAATTTCTCAGCCATAAAATATTTGAGATTTTGATCGAGATTTGCAAATGACGAAGAACCATTGTGAGATACGTTGTTCTGACTCAATAGTTTGGGTACATCTGTAGCTAAAAGAAAGAAAATAGATTTGAATCAATCCATGCATTAAATCAAGAGCATTATTGAACCAGAGTTTACGGATTGATAAGCAAATATCGAATTTATCTTAATCAGACATATTCTCTCGAAGTACTTACCTCGGTTCAAATGCATTGAGATGACACTGGAACATTGAATCAACATTAAAATCAATAACATTTGCATGACTAAAGAATTTAATATCGGTGATTTTGTTTCTACGATTGCTGTCGTCTTTTGTATTTATATATTCTCTCAATATACGAAGTCATCGTTGAGTAATTCTGACGGATAAACGTAAACATTTTTTCCACGCTGATTAGGAAGTGACGTATAAAATATTGTTCAACGTCAAAAATTGTTTTTCAAGATAATTATGAAGATTGAAGTGTAAGATATTTTTTTACTTTAGATATTTTTTCACAAGTAATTAGGAAGAGCGAGGCGTAGGATATTTTTCGACTTCAGATATTTTTTTCACAGATAATTAGGAAGACGGACGTGTAAGATATTTTTCGATATTGAATATTTTTTCTAACATAATTAAGAAGAGGGAAGTAGACTATATGTTTGGGTCGTTAAATGTTTTGATATCATGAATCTATATTGGCAGGCCATAAAAATCATACAGCAATTTGCTTTTGTAAAAACACGATTGAAAATGAGTGTTGAAGTTTTAGAGTGAGGAATTTGACCCCATTACGGTCTGTGGCAGACATGCCGTAAATCCTGTATTATGATTTTCTAGACTGTAGATTTATGGTTTTTTGAACTATGTAGTTTAGCGTTTTGAGATCGTCTAATGTTGTTTTTTTTGGCCTTCCTGCTGTCAGAGCTATAATGGATATTAAGAATATGACTTAAAATGAAATGGTTCTTCATAAAATATTATTTTTATATTCATATGGATAGTAAAATGAATAAATATTGATATGTCATTCTTTCGACAAAATCCAAAAAATATTTTAATAATAGTAGAAAACTAGTAGTACTTTCAAATAATTTGTATGTGTACTTAAGCTGTGAGCATCCAGAAATGTAGCATGAAAATTTGAGGTCGTTATACTTTGGTTATTGAATTATTGAATTTTGATCTAACTTCAAAAATAGCCGAAATTGATTTTGTTCCAGCACAGATTTCGTATCTAAGGAGTTTATTGTTTGTCTTTAGTTGCAGTGGAACATTTTCAAAGTAACAATATTTCATTTCGTTGGTTTTTGCCTACTGTATCTATTAGAAAAATAATTGGACGAAAAAGTAAATTCTAGAGGAGCAGGAATAATATTGCAAAAAGAGATAAGCTTTTTTTTGGAACACCCTGTAGTTGTAGAAAAGATATCGGACTTATGAAACTGTTCTTGGGTAGCTTTCGACACCGAATAATAGTCGAAAGGTAGTGGCGTAACCAAGAGATGGCTGAGCCTCCACTTGACTTTTGAGTCTCCTCACCGATCGAATGTTCATTGGCAAAACTCCATCACGGGCTCCGTCATCAGACAGAATTGAACCACCTGAAATTTCCTCACTGGTGAGATTTTGGTTACGTCACTACCGACTAGGAAAGCTGTATTCTTGGTTCCGTATCTCAAAAAATGCTCTATAAAGCCTACATCGATATTGAATGGTGAATGAAATTGAACACTTTACATAATTAATCTAATGTGGACATATTTTTTAAAAATAATATTTCAGATAGTATGTCTGATTTAAATTTTTTATTTCAATAGAAAAAATAGATTAATAAAACGAGGTAAAAAGTCATAGTTATCGATGTCTTTCTTGTTCTATTTGATAGTGCCTTGGGCGTCGTTGTCGTATATATACCATTTGATTTTTCAGTCAGAAAACGATAAAATTCTTCGGCAACTATCGCTTGCATTTTTGATGTCAAATGATATTCATCACAAAATATTCGTTTTGTTATATTTTGACACAAAACTTGTACTGTCGAACCAGATATTGTATCCCAGCAACTATCTAAATTTTCAAAACCAAACTGAGTATAATTATCTATCATCATTGAAATAAATGAATAACTATCGAATAATTGAATATTCAATTGAGTTTTTAATGATGAATAATATTCATTCAATTTCATATTTAAAATTTGATTATGTTCAATATAGAGATATTTCGTTGTATTTGTTTCATTCTTATTACGAAATGCTGGAAATCGATGAAATGGTGGTTCAGTAATTAAAACTAAATTTTGTCCACCAAAACTAATTAATAAATTTAAACAATCAATAATACTTTGTACAGTATCGAATATTGTAAGTGTTTTATTGAAAAAGTAATTATTTGTACCAGACCATATTACGTAAAGTGTTCGATTAAAATCAATTGTTTGATTCATTATTGAATTTTTATATTGAAGAATTTGTTGTCGAACACCAGGTGATTTTGTTTTACTACGAATATCATAATTTGCAATTAAATTTGGATTACGACTCATTATTCCTTGTGCCAATTGATTATCCGTAGTAGCACTACCACAAGCATAATCATACAATGTTGCATTTGTTAATAATTTTTGAGTGAAATATTCATTCCACAGAAGACCATCTGCAAAACCTCCGTTTTGATTGAATGGTGGTACAGGTGGCCAAGTTCGATTCGAAAGTCGATAGGCATTACCGGAATCAGTTGTTGAATCACCAAATGTAACCAGTGTTGTGTATGGTAGTATGCCTTCAATCGAAGAAAAAAAAGAATTAACAATGAATGTCATATAAATCATCGATGATTCAATTTCAAATTTTGATTATTTCGATTTTCTATTTAACATTTTAGATATATCTTTTTGAATTGAACAGATCTGATAGTCATCATACTCAATAGTAGATTTCAGATATATATTTTGAATAAAATGGTCAATGAACAGTTAAAAAATCAATTGTAAGTTTTCTTTTTTTTTCTTGAATTCAGTTTTAACATATGATGAAGATTTTTCAACTTACTCATTTGATAAGAAAAAAAAAACATTTCATTTGATTCAAAATAAAAGATTGTAGCACTTACTATTAGAGACATTTATCCAGTAAATTGAGAATAGAAACAAATGAACTAAAATAATAGACACCATTCTTACTGAAGAAACTTGATTTGAAACTGATTGGTTTCATCATAGAACACATTGATTATATTTCGATGCATCTCTGACGCCATTATAGCTTAAAAGGATGTAAAGAAATTACGAATATGATAAATAAAAAAGTATAAGAGGTTTGTTCTGTCATTTTCATTTAATGGGAAAAACCTATTCGTGATACGGCCAATATTTTTTTTTCTCTAGCTGACGTTTACATGTTATCTTATTAGTATGCATAATATTATGCGTACCTTGATATGTAAACATATTCTTTTGCTCGTGTTTACCATTCAAGGTAAAATTTACTTCCTACGAATATTTGTATATCAATAAAGCTATAGTACGAATAATATTATCGTGTAGAAATATAACAGATCGATAGTCTCAATAAAAAAAAAAATTATTGTATTTTATCTTTAAGTGTTTAATTACGACTAGTTTTTCGTTGTATACATGTAAACTACTGTGTAAATAGTAGAATTTCTACAATGCAAATAAAAAATTTTAAAGATAAAAATCGGTATTGATCACAGTTCTAAAATTAAAATAATGCTAAGATCTAAGTATGCTTTCCAAGTGAGGAAATAAGCATTTTTCTACTCGTCATTATCGCGTGGAAAAAAGAACATATTTGAGAGCAAGAGTGATTTTAATAAATGTCAAGTGCAATTATGATTATTACTGCTCAGTAATGTCATTATCCTATTGAGAATGAAATACGATAACAATTCGAAGATTTATCTTTCGAATATTTCACAATCAAAATCCAATAACCTACTTTTGAAATTGTGACGACATTAATGTCAAATGTTTTTTGAAGAGATTTTAGTGTCTTCGAAAGGATATGAATGTGAATAAAAAAAAGATTCATATCTATACGCATACCCACACCTTGTATCGAAACTCGACATTCGCATTTTACAAACACCTATATCCGCACTCCACAGGAAATATTAATTCAACAGAAAAATTATAAAAACAAAAACTTGATCAAATAGAAGTAAATCGTGCAAACCAACAGATCTTTTGTGAAATACGGTCAACCGCTGATGTTAATGAAAAATTGATGACATGGAAAGCGTTAAGAATCTATCCAGCAAAACTTTGATTTGGTTATGAGAAAAAATATCAATACTACCAAAGGCAACATAAATGATTGATTCATTTGATGTTCTAACTTCTTCTAATCAATGAAATAAATCATCAGAAATTTGTTTCAAAAGCTCTTTTTTCCTTATGATGGACCCGACCACTAGAGTTCGGCGGCTTCAAAAAAAGATGGAACTGAGACCGAACCGGGACTGGTTTCTCGGAACCAACTTTTTGAAATTTTTGGGAACCGGAACCGTTTTTCAGGGTCACTAACGTCATTGTTACATAGTGTGTTTTGAACAAAATGACTTTTCAATAAATATCTAGTTCTTATGGTGTCAGGAATGAAACAACCCAAATTTTTCAAACAGTTTCCGTATGCTTTTGTTAATGCAACGGTTCCAAATAACTTTTTGGGAGCCAAACCGTACCCGCTTTTTCCTCATTTTTACTATCCAGAATTGAACCTAGACTGTGGATGTAGGTGTCGATATTCATTTTCACCCACACTACACATCGACACCCGCACCCACATGTTGCAACCGATTGTGAATCGAACTGCAGTTCGATGTTTCATAGTCTGATTCGAGAAGTAGCGTTTGTTACAAGTAAAAAATAATTATGTCAGACAACAATATTTTTGAAAATGTTCCATCTGGGAGAAGAAGCATCTGTTTCAGGCAAAGCTTTCAGAATATAATAGGTATCATGAGATCTGTTTTAGAGAAAACTTTTCGATAAAAAATTCTTATGGAACGTTTTTTCGTAATATTCTTCAAGATGTTGAAAAGGATGCGTGGGTGTGGGTGTAGGGTGTGGATATTAGTTAAGAAAAGATTCACACACCCACATCCTTCGCTTAGCTGTTAATAACTAAGAAAATTATGTACTTTAAATGTACATCAATTAACCATCAAATGTTCATAATATTGACAACGTTACGCCTAGCTTCGTGCATTACAATTTTTCTCAGTTCATCCTTTAAGTGTATGAATCTTTTTTATCCGTTCTCAACTCTTCTTCCTTTAAGGACAGAGATGTATAAGAACCTGATTCGAACTATAGGACTTTTTCAAACTCTACTCATCATAGTCATACATAGAATGAATGAACTTTGATTGGCGATTAGGTTGATACTAGATTTGAGGTACATTTGAGGACTTCCGATTTTAAGATTTGAAAATGTCCTATTGGGAATGTAGAATGATGACATTATATCCTTTCAGGCTAATTGTCTATATATACACTAAAAAAGAATCAGCCGCAATTACAGCTAGACAGATAGATATTTTCAAGACCTACAAAACCCTGTACTTTTTAAAATTATAAAATGTAGAGCAATAAAAAAGTGTAGAACCGCACAGTAAAACTTGTGGTGCGGATCATCTCTGTCATCCACATGTTGATTCTATCCACCCACACACTATCTTCTAAAGTGTGATTCACTTTTGTTCTTCTATTCTCAAAAACTCATAATCAAGTGAGTTTCAACAACAAAAAAATTTTACACCAAATAATTAAGAAAGCATAAGACTTTCAATATAAATTCTACAGTATTAAAAAGTGAAACACCATGAATCCATGCCACTCGTTATGGAGAGTGCTACCCATATTGATCTTATCGTCCGTAAGGATCAGTTAGAATGGTGTATCGAAATATCTACCAGAATCTGTAACACTAAGATATCTGGCTATCAAAGACTACGTGAAAATGGTATAGGAGGCGTCTTATATTCTTTCTATATATTTGAACACTCATTTATAATCGTATGTTACACAATACATTGTAACAGCAGACTGACAATTATTTTTAAAAGATATTTCAGAGAGACACACACGGACAGACATATGCATAAGGTTGTGGACATCAACATCGGCGTAGATGGGTGAGCGAAGAGAACAGTTATACCCATATCCACACTCTCAATCAGAACGAATGGGAGATTTAAAAAATCAATGAAAACTTAGTCAAGAACTCTCATGTATCAAAGTACTAGAGATTTCATAAGTTCTTGCTATAATATCTATTGGCTTTCGATTAGCAAAAAATCTTCGGTTTATTTCCTAACAAATGATTTCTGATGCATACAATTAAATATACATTAAATTCATAGTTCTGCTTTGTACAATATAGAAACATATTTGTTCGATAAATTTGACATTTCAATTAATTCGAAAGTTGTATAATCTGATCAGCAATGAATTCAGTTTGAGTAAAGTGCATAGAATAATTGATGAGATTTTAATTGAAAGAAAAAAATCATATATATTTATAAATACTATTAAGAACATGAGTTTTGAATTCTTGTACTTATATAAGTAGAGAAACTTTTCATTTTTTTCAACTTCAAAAGATATTCTTAAAAAAACTTTCACATGAATTTTGCATGAAAATGAAGTAAATACAATGAGCCAATGTACAAACAGATCAATGAATATTTTATTTGTTCTCGTTCCCATCATGTATAGAGAATTGCACAACTTCAACTGTTTTTAAATTCATAATATAATTAATTTTCGATAGAGATGTCTGCACTCTCGGTTGTAGTAATATCACATAACTACATACACTGATCGTGAATGCAGTTATATAAGATGACTGCAATCGAAGCTGCAGTAATTTTATGAAAATGCATATTTACCACGTGTATTTTCTTATTGTTATAACTAATTTTTTTATTTTAAGTTTTTTCTCACAATTCATTTAATTAAAAACATGACAGACTAATATGAAATGTTCTAACATAATCAACAATTCGAATCGTTGAATTGAATCAAAACTGATCTAAAGAACATATTGATAGAAGATAGTATAAATAGATTTATTCATCTGTTTACATTTAGAATGTTCTTTTAGGGAAAATTTCAATGATTGATAAATTGTTCTTTCACTAATAATAAAACAAAATTTTTTGGAAAATATTTCACAACAGAAAAAAATAATTTAATTTATTGTATAAAGATAATTTTCGTGAAAAAAAAATACCTTCAATATTAGTAACCTCTGAGCTTATTGGAGAATTCTACGAAATGATTCATTACTTTGTAGCTTATATTTTAGACATATTAAAAAAAATTTCGCTACACTAGAATAACTCTCTAAAAAGTTTCGACTTTATAGACTTCCTCGATGAAGTTACTATTGTTTTGCAGAATATTTTTTTTTTCTAGAGGATAGCGTGTTACACGAAAATCTGAACAAATTATCGATAAGAAATTTTCATGATTCTTAGAATAACCTACAAGTTTCAGTCAGAATGATTGATTTTTCCTTCTCGCTCAAAAAAATTGGGAGCGTGCAAACGTTGAATATTTCAAGAAGGATTCAATCATTTCCAGTAAATTTTTTTTGGATATTTTTAGCATCATAAGATCTACTTATAGACAAAATTTTAGATGGCAATCTTTTTTTCCCATTCCCTGTCAATCATGTGCTCTACGGAGTGCGGGTAGAATAGAGATTTCGCCTTCACCTACACACACACTCTGTAAGGAATCATGACCACAACTTTGACATGATATGTACCTCTAAGAGCAGTACGATATATCTGCATATG